AAGTTACTTTTTGCAGTGACCAACAACTTATGACTATCTGTTCAAGGTCCTTAAACTGGTGAGAATCAGTGTGGAGGCAAGTTTCCTTGTGAAAGTCATTCCCAAGGTCATGTACTGAGAAGACATGAGTAATTAAAGTTTCTTCTCCCGTTTCCAGCTATGAACTATTTAGCTATTTCTTTTACTCATTCACCTGAGTGATTCTAGTGGTATCATAAATTACCAAAGGTTCTAATTCAGCTAAGCAAATTTGTACCTTCCTATTGTGTTGAAGTCATTCCAATATACATTAATATATATGTTTTTTCTTTAGGTTGTTGCTTTTTCCTTTTGTTTGTCCACTTGCTTTCTTGCCATTTATATGGAAAATAACTTATGTGTCCTCTTTGACATTTCTATCCTTCAAGTTACTCAGGATCTAGGGCTGAGTAGATAAATGTAGACTCTTTAATTAAGAAGACTTTTCCTCTACCCCTACCTCATCCCAGTATCTTCATTGTTGAGAATAGACATTGTGTTTTTAAGACCATATTACTTTCCTGTTTCTTGGTCTATTTTGCTATTTGATTTTACCCAGCACCCCACTGAGGTAGTTTAAAGTATAATTTTATTTTCATTTTATAGATTGGGAAACTGAGGCATGAGGTAATAAAATACCATGTCCAAGATTAACCAATAATTAGGGACAGCTATGGAGCTTGAATGCAGGATTTCTGTCTCCAAAGCTAAGAACTCTTAACAATAGCTCTAACATCAGCTTTTGCTTACTCTTTAAGGTAAACTCATTCAATTTCCCTAAGACTTGGCCCTTCCAGTGGGGGAAAGGATTTCTGCTTATCTTAAATAGCATCCTTCAGACATGCATCAAATATTCAGGGCCATGGTTTTTCACCTCAATACTCCAGATAAATGATGATTAAAAGTGGCATCATCAGTTATGTGTGACCACTTACAGAAAGTCCATCTGTCTCAAGCCCTTGAAACTGAACTCATTTCTGCCAAAAGGAAAAGAAAGTTTCTGGCGTATGAAAGCTCAACCAGGGAAGACAGACTTTGCTAATGCCACCCCACCCACATCAAGTCTCCTAGCTGGATAGAGCAGATTTCCAAATGTGTCACCACATGAAAGGGAATGAATCTGAAGCAAGGAATACCCTTATGCTAGGGGGAAGATGAGTGGAAAGGAGAAATCAGAATGCAGTGCAATAAGCCAGTTGCCAGCAGTACTTCAGCTTCTTTTCCTTCACTTTAAGACATAGACTAAAGAAAATTTTCAAAGTGCACAGAATCTAAATTATAGTTGCACAGGAGTGTGTGGATCAGGGACGTTGAATTTTGTGCATTCATTCATTCAACAAATATCTGTTGAAAGTCTATTAGGTTTTTCAGGATGTGTGTGTATGTATATATATTTAATTTTCACAATACCCCCTCAATGAAATGTATTAGTATCAATGTCACCTACTTACTACATGGAAGTCAGGGTGGCAGGGTGATAATCTGACCTTGCTATTGACTTCAAACTGTTTTCACTACAACCTGCTGAGCACCTAGCACAAAATATTCAGGGAGCACCAAGTAAATTGACGTAATGAAAACAAGAGAGGCAGTTTTGTTTTATTGTTTTGTTGTTGCTGTCTTTATTTTTCCTGGCCACACATTTGTATTCCATTCCTCACTCTGTTCTCTTCAGCGCTTGGGGCAGAGGGAGTAGAGAGAGAGAGAGAATTCCCCAGATGCAGACTGGCAGATGTAGCTGAAGGGCCCCTGGGACATTAGTAGCAACAGAAACTGAATAGCAGAGTCCAAGGATGTTATTTTTAAAAGGGAGCCATGATAGCTTTGTCAGCAGAATCTTGTAAAAGAAGCCAGTTCCCTGATCTCCATCTCTTTTCTTTTAGCTCTTTCTCTGCCTATATTTCTATATGTCATCTGTCTATCTACCTACATATCTACTTACCAACCTGTGTCTATCTCTACGTCTCCTCATGCTCAGGTTCTACTGATTCCAAGCAGGTAGATTTATTGTGGTCTGAAACATAATCAGGAGGACATTAGCCTTCATGAGAACTCACCTCTATCCCCAGTTCCTGCCACTCTGAGAGGGTTTTGCTAAGGAAATTGATGAAGTCATCTTAGATAATAGAACCTTCTATAATCTTACCCTGTTTTTCTTTATTTTGGAAAAGGGGAGAGTGGTACTAAGAATCAAGCACACTCATGATGCTATTTTCAAAAGGTTGTGCTTTCATCATTCTGTAGAAACTATATGTAAGGGAAGATTTCTCTACTAGGTGTTAAAAGGCCAGGCTTTTACTTCCTGCTCTGCTACCACATTTTGCTGTGCACTGGAAGCAGATGCCTTTCTCCCCTAGCTTTCGGTTTTCCATTAGAGAAAATGGATGAAAGGGCTGACATTGTACACATTATCTTATGAAATCGCTGCAGCAATACTGTGTAATTATTACCTCCATCTTTTTGTTGTTGTTGTTGAGAAAAATAAAGTTCAGAAAAGATAGACTATTTTATTTAAGTCCTACACAGTTTATATCAAGCAGCGTTAGAATCTGAACCACCTTTTCTTGATGTCAAAACTCTTACTTTTTCTTCAGTCCCCTTTTTTGGGTTTTCAAAAAGTGAGGTCTAGATTTATAGTCACTAGTCACTCTTGGATTAGGTCTAAGTTACATTCAATAATGCATAGATTGACCACGTTCGCTGAAAGGTTGGCACTACTAAGAAGTGCTGAGCCTGTATTCTTTTCATGGCTGAACTACCAGGCATGCTACTGGTCACTGGAGTCCTCAGCTGGCTTTAACCCATCCTTAAATAATTGAATTATAATGAACTGATTTATTCTGGCTCTTTTGGTAGAATTTCACTATACAAACTGTTTGCAGAAATAAACAAGGGATTTTGGAGCTTGGAAGGGGCTCAACATTCTGTTACCCCTGAGTTCAATGACTCCTTTTTCAGATAGTCAGCATCATAGAAATCCAAGTCTCATTTTTCCTTGACCTGCCCTCTTTCTAGCTAGAGAAATGTTGCTTGAAAGTGTTTCAAGTGGGTACGGATTTCACAAGCTGATTTCATTCAACTACTTAGTAATAAGTCAACCCCTTAGAAGAAGAGCATTTTTTTCTCTCTCGACGATTACCTTAGAATCAAAGCACATTTATGTTTATTTCCTGTGAGAGTTCTATGGTGATCCTGAGAGATTATTCTGGCTGGAACTATTATTTCTGCATTACAGATAGGAAGCCAGAGGTTGAGAAGTGAAGCAAGTTGTGTAAAGTTATATAGCTAAAATCATGGACAGATCAAACCTTGGCAGATGTTTAGCCCTAAATTCAGTGCCCTCTCCAGAGTTCCACTCTGCTATTTAGGGGAAGAAAGAATGTTCTCGATCAAACAGAATCCTTAAGGTGACCATATATTCTGATTTGCTTAGGATATTCAGATTTTTCTGAGTATATGTGCCTATTTTTCATAGCACCATTATCACTTTCAAAGTACTCTACTTTGGATGATAAACTATATGGTAACCCAAAGACACTGGATAGGGACTACATTTCAAGAAGCTCAGAATATTTCAGAAGAGCTGCAACAAGTAGATGTACTAGCAGCACAGTGTGATAAGTGTTGAGATGGGGATCTTTATAAAATAGGCACCCACACAGGAGTTGGTATTTAGCTTTGCCCAGAAAAGTCAGGAGAATAGCGCAGAAGAACTGATGTTAGAGTTATTCAAAGGTGGACAGGGTGATCTCTTTTGGACAGCCACATTCAAGTTTCTTCTTTTCTTGTTCTGTGTTGGAATATCAAGAAACATGCATAGGGCATACCTGCTTACAAGGCATCCTATGGCTAGCTTTGTGCTTCTGTGACATTTGTCCTTGCAGTGAAGTGAGACTCATTGCAGCCAGCTGCAGCTTTAAATCGTGCAAAGCAGCAACCTTTGCTGTGGTTTGGAGTACATGGGAGCTGAAGAATTCTTTTGGTCTTTAACTGGAACTCCGAAGGTATCTGACAAACTCTTAGAAACCTAGATCTATAGACAGGAATGGTTCTTGGAATCCCAGCAGTGTAACCCTCTTCTCTGCTCTAATGATTGAGCCCAGAGAGAAAAAGAGATTTGTCCAAAGTAACAGAGGAATTTAGTTTCAGGGCTGGGACTGAAACCAATGTCTCTTGTAGATCAATTCACTTTTTGTGCAAAACCGAAATCCTCTTTGGAGTTAAATAAACCTCAGTTTACAACTGTGAAGATCTGTGGTGTCAAATAAAGTACTCAGAGTTTGGGAAGTAAATGCTTGACTTGAAGACTAAGATCTGGCATTAAAACATTGCATGATCTTAGGCAAGTTAGTAAAAATGTGTGGGTTCTCAGTTTCCTCATCTGAAAGGTTAAATTAATAATACCTTCACAAAATTGTTGTTAGGCTCATCTAGGATAATGTAGGCTAAAATCTTGTGAACTTTTTCTTTTTATTGTGGCAAAACACACACACACACACACATACACGCACACACACATCTACCTTCTTAACACATTTTCATGTGTGCCGTATAATATTGTTAACTGTAAGCAAAATGTTGCAGTGAATTTCTAGAACTTTTTCCACTTGTATAATTGAAACTTCATACTCACTGAACAGTAACTCTCTATTCTCCTCTCCCCTAAAATCCTGACAGCCACCATTTTACTTTCTGCTTCTATGAGTTTCATTATGCTAGATACCTCATATAAGTGTAATCATGCAGTATTTCTCTTTCTGTGATTGGCTTTTTTCACTTAGCGTAATGTCCTCCAGATTAATCCATGTTGCATATGACAAGATCTTCTTCTTTTTTAAGGCTAATATTCCACTGTGACGAACAATGATCGGCTTAATGATGCTTATGACTTTTGTGGTTTGTTACCACAACCACTGATGATATCTGAGGTCAAAGAACAAATATCTATCTATTCTCTCCCTTTCTATGTCTATCTCCTGCAGATGAGCCCAGCCGGTGCTATTTCCATGATGGTGATGGAGTATGTGAGGAGTTTGAACAAAAAACTAGCATTAAGGACTGTGGTGTCTACACGCCCCAGGGTTTTCTGGATCAGTGGGCATCCAATGCTTCAGTATCTCATCAAGACCAGCAGTGCCCAGGCTGGGTCATCATTGGACAGCCAGCAGCATCCCAGGTAAGATCCCAGCCATGTGCAACATTTCCTGCAGACATTCAGAATCTCTGCGATGTCCCTCAGTGTTGCCCACCTCAAAGGCAGTGTCTTCAACCAAATGTAATGTTAGGGCCTTATGAGTATCATGGGTAAAGGTTATTGAATGGTTAGGGCAGGGAATAGTGCAATGCAGGGAGGGATAATGACTGTCCTCCTATTTCCTTGCCTGTTAGTAACTTGTATATGGGGAAAGAATTCCATTTTGGATCTACCACTGGAATTCAATGAGATTAAGATTAAGAATTAATTTCATTTTGGAATTCCCACTTTTTGGGAGGTGACAAGTTTCGTGCTTCCTGAATTAACAGCAACTGTAGCATAATTTGCTATGTGGTCTTACACTGGTTTCCCCACTTCTCTTGGCCCCATTTTTTCCTGCCATCTTTAAAATAGAGTGGTTTATCTTGCCCTTGCCAGCTCTGGCATGTCTCCTTTCTTTTCTCTCTTGCTTCACTAATAAACTTTTGTTTAAAACTTTAAAAATAAATAAAATCGAGAGTTGTTGCACTTGATGATCTCCAAGGACCTTCCCAATTCTAAGAAGCTGTGACTCATTCCTCCCTTAATGCACTATTTATGTGTCATGGTTTTCCCCAGGGGGCTGACAGCTTAGTTGAGGGAGTGAGAGTTTTGGGACCACCAGAGCTTGTGTGATTCTAGGGATGGCCATGCTGTCCCTGGAGTCCCATTTCCAATTATCCTACTGAGCGAGCACCTGCCTTCTTCCGGGACTCCCATTTCCCAGAGACACGACTCAGCGCTTCTGGTTGCCTGGGCTCGTGGCCTTTCTGAGACCAGTCTGCCTCCTGGCCTTGCAGATGAGCTGTTATTTCCAAATATTCCTCTCTAATATTGCTTCCTTGATTTAAGTCCAGTGGGGGTAGCCCTGGCTTCTAGATGAAAGAGAGATGTAACCTTCTGAGGCCCAGGGAAGAATCCCTAGGTGAGGTACAGAACAGAACCACCTCATTTTTAGTTATAACATTTATTTGATTGTTTCTTCATTCACTTTTTGCTAATGTTTTTTACATGATGCAAGCCTTTATTTATTCATTTGCCTTTATTTATGAATGCCTTGAAGAGAGTGGAAACAAATAGGCATTTCCTGTATATTTCATGTATAGTGCCAACCTGTTGAATGAATGAATGGGTGGATGAATGGACAGATGCATGCATGAATGACGAAGGTTCATCCTCCCTTTGTTCCACCACTGTAGTTGCTAAACACTTCTGTGTGGTTGCATTTATACATTAAAAGCTAAATACCTGTTTGTGTGTCTGGCTCCCTCATTAGGCTGTTAGTTCTTTGAGAACAAGTTTGAACTTGATTCATCTGTCCCCTCATCTTTAAGCTCAGGATCTGGATGATACTAGGTGCACAGGAAATAAGTGTTTAATTGACTGTGGACACACATACATACACACATGTCTATCCTATTGCTACCTACAAATAAACAGTACTGAGAGAAAATGCTCAAAAATCACTTCTCTATCACATAATGTCCTGCTTCAGAAACAACAGGGCTGGAACTAGCAAGAGAACTAGGAATTCCAAATTGAACACTAGCATCCAGTTCCTAGAAATATATTAAAACAACTTTCAAGCAAGAGAATTATTAACACACTCAAAACTTCACATGAACAAGAAAGAATTGAGGTAGCAGCTATGCTTAAGAGTCACCCAAAGGCTACTCATATGAGAAAAGGAGAAAAATAATTTTCCAGGGATAGCATTTGAAAAGAGCATTCATGGGGCAATTATTCCACTCTTGTAAGGAGGGGGCTGTCAGAAATTATGGGTGATTATCTCTTCCTAAACAAAAATACAATTAAAAAAAATTATAAATACTAGCTCTTCGATCTGCAAAGAAGAGATGAGGAAATAAAATCATCCTATTGAATTATTCATTGTAACCAATTTTATTTTAATGAAATCGACTAGGTTCCATTACTCTGGGCTTGGACATAAGCTTTGTTACAAGGAGACTTCAGCTGTAACTAAATTTGCCATAATGAGATCAGCTCACTAGAGAGTATAGGGTCAGGGGAGGGGATATGTATGCAGGCTGGGTGCAGGGCCAGGCAGAGGGTGGCAGAACAAAAATTTCCTGAATTCCTCATCTGAAAGGTAGTACCTAGAAGTCGTTCATACACATACCCTCACCATCACACACGGGTGTACATGCACATGTATACACACAATTTCTCTCTCACACACAGAGCATGCACAATTTGAGGTAAAGGATATTCCTGAAGTGCAAACGTAGCTCCCTTCTGACGACAGAGAACAAGGAAGAAGTACAACTGTGCCCCTCATGACCTTGTGCAGTGATTAGAGGAGATTGGTAGCTAATTTTCACCCTGTCAGGGCCTCCAGTGAAGATGTTGATAGCTTGAGAGCAGGGACTGGGAGGCTCTTAGAAGTTGGGTTTAGGAACAAGATGGGAAGATATACCTTGTGCTACTCACTTTCTCCCAACACGCTCATATTCTCTTCTCCCTCTTCCTTTTTCTTCCCCTCCTCCAATTCACATGTGAATAGGCCCTATAAGAGCCTAAGTCCAGAGAGTGAGTACCAAAGCACATAGAGGAGAATAAGGTAAAGGACTAGCAGGTTCACCAGCCAGTGTGCTGGACACATCTTCATACCTTTCAGCCAATCCATTTGCCATTCTTCAAGGCAGTAATTATTATCTACCTTGGAAAAACCAAGAAACATAGTGGCTTCCCACAAGTTACACAGCTCATAAAGGGAGAATCTAGGATTAGAAGAATCTCATGGAAAATGACAGTACAAGTTTAGAAACCTTAGGTCACATCCAAAAGTTGGAATTAGCTGAATTCCTGGAAAACTTCACTGGGAAACAAACATAAAGAGTCCTGTGGATAGATCTCAGTATTGAATGTCACTGTGCAGATCCCATAAGGTATTTGAATTGCCCTTGAGCAGACACATAGTCACTGCCTACACCTTCAAATTCAGGCTGCTCCCACTCCATTCTAAGGTGGCCCTGTTCTATGATCCCCCGTTCACTAGGCCACTCTGCTAACTTGGAATTGATGACCAAGTTGTTGCCATTTCCTCTTAGTAATCTAGCTTGGTTCCACTCTCTACCTTTCCCCAGTGTTGTAAGAATGATAAATGCAGGTGTTTATTGGAGTCATATGCCAAACCCCGTGGTTGGGGCCTATGGAAGAAGCTGAAGAACTGAAAGACACAGCCTCTGACCTTGTCTCTGTGTAGAACTTAAGTTGAGAATTCTTTTTTTTTTTTTTTTTTTTGAGTTAGAGTCTCATTTTGTCACCCAGACTGGAGTGCAGTGGCTGCTCCCGGCACTGCAGCCCGGACCTGCTGAGCTCCAGGATGTCGATCCTTCTGCTTCAGCCTTCCAAGTAGCTGGAACTACAAGCATGCTCTACCATGCCCGGCTAATTTTGATTTATTGTAGAGATGAAGTCTCACCAAGTTGCCCAGGCAGGTCTTGAACCGGAGGGCTCAGGCAATCCACTCACCTCCGCCTCCCAAAGCGCTGGATTACAGGCTGAGCCACTGAGCCCGGCTAGGTTTGAGAATTCTATCAAGAGGCGTAGCCTTGTCCCAGTAGGATCTTGGTGACTGCTGCAAAGAAGAAGCACTTGTTATACTATGTGGGTCAGGAACATTGATTAAAGCTTCAGTTTTAGTTTTGTATAAGTCTGCCACTTCTAATGGTATCCAGTCTCTTTTGTCTGTTTACCTCAAACAAGATTCCCAAATTTGTTTGGGGCAAAGTTAACCCTGAACATTGAGTACTATACCCAAATGTTATCAGAAGTATCAAAACTTCCTGGTTGTGCAAATTGGGTTGAACGTCCTATACTAAGAGACATTCTTTGGATATTTTGGCCATGCACCTTCCTGTCCCAGCTGGAATCAAGAAGTTCCAGAGACAGAACAAAAATGGAAATGAACTGGAAAAAAAATCAAATTATCTCTCTTTGGGGTACCTCAGAACCTGGTTTGGTTTAAGTGCTTGCAAAGATTTCGTCTTGTTCTTATTTTGTCTTCATGTTTCACATTTCTCTAATGCTTTACACAAAAGGCTGCCAAGATAAGATGTTGATATTCCCTCCTTTCCTCCTACCTCCAGCATTTCTACCAAACTCTTTCCCTCTTTTCAAACAGGCACCTCCCTCCTTTGCGATGGCCTGAGGAGGAAATAGAAACATTAAGACTATCTGGAATTTACAGAGCTCTCCTATAGGGATTACAGACCTTCAGTCAACCAACCAATTTATTTGGTTAATCCTCTGAGAGTAAAACTTAGACGAAGCATTTCCAGGGCAGTCGTTTGAGGCCAAAGTAAAGAAAACCTTTCAAAGAATGAGAACTATCCACAGTGGGATGGAGTGTCTCGTGATATAAGTAGTTCCCCATCATGAGGCATTCATACTGAGCGGCCAATTGACTAGAAGATTCCTGCATTAAAAGGCAGGTGGGATTTAAGCATTTCTCCTTTCTTTGTAATTACTCCCTGGCTTTGTATTTCATTAACTCATTAATGGATATATCAGTCCTTTGCCACCTCGCTTTGACTTACTGTTATTATTCCTTGGCACATCCATAATATTTTGTGCCTCTATTCAAATACAAATCGTAGTATGTCTTGTGTTACAACAGTCTATGCATTCATTCATTTATTTTTTGAATCAAACAGAAATATATTTGAGTCTTGAGTTCGGAATGTAAGTGTTCATGAGGTGAAGTGGAAAAATCATGCAGATCTGGTTTGATCCTCTTAACTTCTATTCTTACTTGGAATCCTTGAGTAAGCTACTCCTTTGGGAATCTTGGTGTTCCCCTGTAGAAAGTGGGAATGATCACATCTAGAGATTAAGATGGACAATATCTACTGGTAGAAACTGAAGATGCAGGTAAAACAGGGCTGGGGTTTTTTCACTTTAAATAGTAAGAGGAGGGA